GAAGAGAAAAGTGAGTTCTTTCATATTCAGCTTAATTGTATCCTTTATCTTCAGGTAAATTGAAAAGTTTTGAAAAATCTCCGTTTTCATTTAGACATTACCTTGAAAAAGTTAACATACACAGATACTTGGCATCTGAATATCTAATTAAAATGCTAATAGGGGAGAATATGCGACTTCCAAGAAGCAGTTCGGAAGAAAAGAATGCGACCATCGGAACAAGAGTTTCATTTTCCTGACGTTGCGGATTCTGTCGGGAATCCTTAATGGTACTTTGGGCCGTTTATAACTATGGCCCATTTTGCCGTCTTCAAAAGAATGTATATCCAAAAACTCCTTTTTTGGTAAATGCTTTTAATAGATAGCTTATTTTAAAGGTTTTTATATGAACATCGAACAGAAGCTACGCTTGTGAAATAAAGCTTGAGAACACAAAAAATCGTCGCAAATTTGTCGGAATTTAAAGGCCAATCTCTAAGTAATTCTAATTAAATAACGGCAGTATGCTTGAAATATTTTGACAAAGTAGAAGTTAGTTTGATATAGAGAAAGTGGTAGCCTTATCCACTCAAGTTACGAAATGATTTGAATTTACTGTTCTAAGTTATGGTTATTTTTACGTCTGAGGAACTTGAGTGTTTTTTAAAAAAATTATTTTCCTTAATGAGCAATTAGTACTTTTATATTCTTTTAGTTAACTAATTTGCCTAGGGTTTTTCATCATTATTTATAGGGTTTCTTACATGCGTTAATGCCGTTTTTGAGTGATTATCAACCTTTGCAAACTTCGGCATTTTGCACGACTTCCCTGCTGTACTGTCTACATGACAGTAGGGGCTCACTGATACTGCTAAATGAACATACTCGTTCTGCTGTGCCTTAGTGCTCAATCTAGAGCCCTCGCGGGCAGTCGCATAGCGATTTCTAATAGAGTATAAAGTGCAACCGGCAAAGACAAAGGAGGCCGGAGTGGCAATTGCTTAATTATTAGCCGTCATCGGCCAGTAATACTCAAACCCAGGGGCGATTACCTCTGAAATTCGAACCCACAAACTTTGGAAATTGAGTGCAACACTAAAGTACAATGGTAGGTTGTTGCACTTAATGACCAAAGGTTGCGGATTCGAATCTCAGGGGTCCTCACCCCTGGGATTGGGTGTAACTGACTGATAATGGCTAATAAGCTACAAATGGCCACTTCGGTCCCACTTGTCTTTTCCAATTCCACTTCCTATACATATATATGCATACACAATCAGTAATAGGCGCACAGTAATCTATTGTCTCCCAAAGCAAATAAACTCCGAATGGGTAAAAATGTACGGGTCAGTCGCTTACTATTAAATGTGAAAATAAGTGGCAGATGTAAACGCAAGCCTACCATTTTGTTGACCTTGGAGCGCCTACTGAGCGTTCATCAACATCAACGGCTTATATATTATGGACTTGCACAAACTCAAAAAAGTTGTTTCTTTTGGATATAGGTGCTTGCACCTGAACCTGATCTACTTGAATCACCATATGCCGGGGTTACACATCTGAATTTGTGCCTTTGCAATAACTACGACAACAACGTTTTTAAAAAAATTGCAGAATAAGTTTACATCTAATGATCTTAGTAACCATATGGCCAAAATTGCACTCGGACGTTGCGGAAGTTATCCTGCAATGTGGGAAGTCTGGCAACTGTACGCAGGTGCAGGTAATTGCATTAAAAATGCTCTGCAAAGTAGTAAACATTCACTTAAACAATATGTAGAATGATGCTTGTCAGAAAATTTATCGGTTTTTGCTAATTATATCCAATACTTGTGGGTTATGAAATCCGAGTCAGCGCAGTAGTTGAATAACTTAAGCATGCTAATCAAACCCGAGCATGGAAAGTTCGTAGGGGATGTATCACATAAGCCGTTTAAAAGCAACATTTAACTTAAAATATTTTTTTACAAAAAGAAGTAGGGTTGCTTTTATGAAAACGAAGAAGTTTGTTACAAATGAAGTCTGGGTTTCCTGCCAGTACAATCCCCGGACTGGACGGGGGAAGCAAACCGGGGGAATACGGTGGAATATGGGGGAATGCGGAGGTGAAGAATTTTTGATTTACGAATTATATTTACAGAGCCCAATTTTCAAGATCTACTTTTTATCAATACATTATGAATGACATTATCCGCCAACAAAACAATCAATTTGGGGTCTATGAAATGAGAAAAAGTGGGTGGCGGGGGGAACTGGTTGAAATCCCCGCCCTGAGCCCCGTCCTGATTCCCCGTTCAATCCGAGGATTTCCCTGTCCAGCCCCAGGAAAGATCGTCAGTTTGGACGGGGCTCTGGACGGGATGTCAACCCGTCCCCCCGCTGCCTGAAAATGTTTTCGCGGTGGGAGGCCCACTTGTTCTTATTTTTTAGACCCCAAGTTGATTGTTTTGTTAGAGGATAATGTGGTTAATAATTTATTGATAAAAGAGTAGATTTTGAAAAATGGGCTCTGTAGATATAACTTGTCAATCAAAAATTTTCATCCCCGGATCCCCCCGTATTCCCCCGAATTATCCTGTCAAGAGCACGGGGGAATCCGGGGATTGTGCTAGCAGGATTAGAGAGATACAACTTTGAGTGCTTGAGAGTGTAAATATCACATATTTCTAGTTATTTTAAGTGACGTTTAAGGGTTTCGCCTATTAAAATATTGACTTAGATGTTTATCATACTCACTTCAAAAGCAGTATACAATCATGAAGCCACGACATGATGAAGGCTTTGAATTAATTAACGCAGTCTTTCGGTTCGGGAATGTAGTATCACAGGCAGAAATACAAAATAAAGGAACCATCGGTTATAAAAGATAAGTTTCGTTTTATAAATATGCTGTTATGTAAATTTAGATTTACCATTAATGTCAGTGGCCAATCTATTAGTCTCCTTTATGTATTCCAGTTGTGCGTTGCGCTTAGTTTGCCAGGTCACAATCGGTGGAGGAAAGCCTATGGGAACTTCACACGGCAAAGAGAGTGAGTCCCCAATTCTGGCAGTAAGTGTCACGACAGGAGATTGTTCAAACTTTCCCATTTCTAAAATTAAAATCATACAGCTTGTCAGGAACGCATTTCACATCCCAGTACTTGTATAACAATAAATAGAAAAATAAGGAGAAATTTTGCGGTAGAAATTCACATATACCTGCACGTTTAACGTTTATTGTGTTCGAGACGGCAACGCCATATTTGTTTTCCGCAAAACATTGATAAAGACCATCGTCATCAGTTCCCGGCTTCGCGAGCACAATCGTGCCCTCATCTGGCCATTTCGTATATCTTCCTATATTCCCCGCCCAATTAAAGTCCTTTCCGTTCTTCTTCCATTTATAGCTAATATCAATAAACGATTGAAACGTGTCTTACACTGGTGGTGGTGATGCTGTTACCTTGCATGGCAGAAAAATTGCTTCACCTGGCACAAAAACAGCTTCCTTGTTCGGCATTTTTACAAAGGACGGGGGATAAGAAACTTTTTAAATAATTCGAATTATGTAAATAAGTTACCTGCAGTTGACAGGTCGAACTGAACATTTAAAACCGCTATCAGTAAAACTACCCCCTCCATCTTTTACTTCGCGCGCTATTTATCAACCTTAAGAATTTAGACGGGTTAAAGTGGTATGGCTGTGGCGTTCGTTCTGAGACGTTTTAGGTAAAGATTTTTTCCTAGCTCAGAAAAGTTCCGTTTTGTGGCAAAATCTGCGAGGATTTTTTATTCGAATGTGATGTAATAAACTAAGATGTGTTGCTAACTGAAGAGAGAATGACCAAATTTCAAAGACAGATATCCTCAAGTAACGGGAATCTCTTAGGTAGAAGAACGGAGATGGACTGAAGAGTTGATCAAAAACGGCAAGTTACCAGGTAGAGAGAGTCGTGACAGATTTTAAAAATCTTTCGTTGATTAAATAAGATATGAGCAGTATGGTCACCGACACGAAAAGTCCCAAAAGTAATGGCATTC